GAGCAGGCGTGGATCTCAGTGATAGAGAGCTGCAACCGCGCTGCTAAGCTGGATTACAAACAACGGTCGATTACGTGCAGAAAGATTTAGAAATTCATGCAAAGTAAGTAGTCGTAACCCCGATAGACGCAACTTATGTACCGTGTTGGTGTAGACACCCACGGACTTCACTCCTGATGCAGTCAAAGATATCCTTCACCAAAAGCTACATCTTGCATGAAGCGAGAAGGGCTGATGTCGTGATTTTATCAGGAGATATGAATGGTAAGTTAGCTAGACTGCCTCCAAATAAGGTACCTCTAGAAGGTCTCTTTGAACTACGTTCCTGTCGCTCGGAAAACGTCTGCTGACTCTATGTTCTTACCATGACTTTTTCCTCACAAACTTCAGACAATCCTATTGCCAGAACGCCATTTTGTCCTCCTCGAACAAGGGAAAAAAGCCGATCGACCACATCGTTGTAAGTCATGAATGACAGGGTGGTATGCAAGACTTTCAACAGCATTGGAGCTCCCTTCTTCCTCGAATGTGACCACGCATTATTGTGCATTAAGCTACGCAGGTACTTCGGTGGGTGTTCTAAAGGCACAATACAGCAATAGAAAGACTGCGATTACCTGTCTCAACCAGCATGCCTAGGCGCTTTTCGAAACGTGCTATGTTAAAAGCTAGAACCACTCACACCTAGTAACATTCATCGGCACTGGCCGCCCATCAAGAATGCGCTGCATTCTTCTTGCCTAGTGAGTTATAGTTAGACACGTTCTGCTGTGACACCATGGATTTCCACAGTTTCTGCAGCTTATTGACGCAAGCCAATCAGTCTCAAACAGTAGCGAGCATAACGAAGCATGGCTTGTCAAGAGACGTGAACTTAATGAAAGACTACGTAGAAATCGCGAAATTCGATGGACCCAACGCACTTCAGAAACGGAACGTGCTACTGTCATGAGAAATTCTCGTAAGCTGTTTCATTACATCCGGTTCACCAAAAAAGCTCTGGATGTGTGCGAAACGATGTGAAGCTGACAACTCGTCTATCCACAATCAACAGGGTCGTCTGCACGTTGGTCGAGGCACTGTGAGGCATAGTTTAGTTGGTCACCGGTGTTAGCTTCTCACAGTTATTCCAGTCCTCATCTCATGACCCGTGTCGACGGACCCACCTTCTAGGGTTGAAATCCGTACTGTCGAAACCCGTCATCAAGTCGTCCTGGGATACCAAGTACATCAGAAGAACCGAATTGGCACTATATTTTACTAGAGCTGAACGATGTGTTTATATGGTTTATCCAACTGGACTTTAGGAAACAAAATACATTGTTTTTAAAGCTATATATCTAATGGTGGACATATAAGTCAGTGGGGTAAACAGAGAAAAAATCTTCAGCAGACTATATACCGCGAGAACACACAACAGTAATGGAGGATTTGATCCAATTTCAAAGGTGAATTGGTCGTGTATATAGCAAATGAAGCGTGAACAGAAAAACTAGAAAGCAATGGACAGCTGTTCCGAATTGGTCGTGTAAATGGAAAATGCTTGCGTTCTACTCAAGGGGTCCAGGGTTAGATACCCAGTTGGGTCGATGGATTCGCACTGCTGATGAGACCCAACCAGGTCGAAACAGCTGTCCAGTGCTTCCTAGCTTTTCAGTTCACGCTTCATTTGCTATATACACGACCAATTCACTTTTGAAATTATAAATCTATTCTTTCCAACAAAAATAAAATAAAACAGGCAATAAATCAATATTATTTTCTATATAACTGGCAAATCTTCCCGTCGCTGATGTAGTAGCATAGACCATAAAATTCGCCATTATTTTTAATTAGGCGACTAATTTCTTTGGGTTTGAGAATCAGTCCAGGTTGGTAAAACAGAAGCTCAAAGAAGTACAACTACAACACACTCAAAAGACCTGTGAAATGAACCCGAACAGTGCGGTCATTGCTTCTTACAAACTCCGAAATTAAGTGTTTATAAATCGACGGTGGTGGTGGTGAAGTAGTTAGGCCACCAGATTGTGACTCGGAAGTCCCAGGTTCGAACCGCTCCACCGCCGCCCGTCTTCTCTATTTCTGTATTTTCCCAGACAGCCTTTGCATGGCCGCGCCCCCC